ATAATCGTGTAATAATATTGATATAATAATAATTAGAATGTATTTTTAACTGCTTGAACTGAAAAATAAAGCGTTTTATTAATGATCAGAATCTTTTAAAATTCTAATGAATATAGATGTGTACATGTAATTTTTTCACAATGTGCTTCTTGTGATTTTGCAAGACTGTCTTTGTGAAATTGCATTAGATAATTTGTTAAGTTATATTATTGATAGTTAACATCTATAAAAAAGATATAACTTCATACATTTTCTGTATTTAAAATAAAATAAAACTTTATGACGCTTCAAAAAGTACGAAAGTAGAAGATGAAGCGAAGCTTTATATAAAAAATGTAAACTACAGTTCAACAGAGCAAATCCAAACAAACAGAGAGTCGTTGAAGGCTTGTAATACTCTTATATTGCCAGCCTGCTTACTTTCCATAGATGGTGTGTGTGCCGATCAAGTGAGACAAATAGCAGACGATTTGACCACTCTGTATAAAGTTGAAAGTCATTTAGTTCGTGCCTTCTAGTCGAGACGGATCGTCTACAAGATCGACAGAAAACTGTGAATTATTGACACGTGATCACAGATTATTATTTCACGAACAACTATTAAGCAAAAGTTTTTGTTTCGAAAGGAAATATCAAGCAGAATAAAAAAGGTAATAAATAGTTTTTTTACTTTTGGGCGAACAAAGATTTTTGATGAAAGAAAACATCGACGATAACATTCATATTTGTACGTTGCTCAGTCAACCACTTCCCTGATTTGTAATTCCCGTAATCTGACAGGAAAGTAGTTAATTTGAGATTAAGGATAAACTTCCGAAAAGCAATCATCTCCGATTTGGCTAATTTTCAGTCTAAATACTTATTTTATCTAATAAATAATATTCTCAAATGAATTTTTGGCGCAAGTACCCCCTTCCGCCCCCCCACCTCCCTTCAAAGATAAAACTGTTTTTGTTAATTATTTCAGAAAGTATTTATTGTACGGAAAAAGTTGTCAAGCAACAAATGAAGCTAGTCGTTATTATCAAAAAACTTGTAAAATCTGGAGGCAGTATGTTCCACCCCCCCCCCTACGGGGGGCTCCACCATAAAAAAGCTATACACATAAGGTCTGGGTGGAATCTCGCTTTGCGTAGAAATTCGTAAACTCACTCGCGAACCTCGCTTCGCGTGGAAAGTGTATGCGTGGAGGCAGTGCGCCCTTCCACATGGTGGCTTTTACAAGTTTTTGGATAATAACGATTAAAATATTGCAGTTAGGTAAAATATGTATACGACCTTATTTGTAGAGCTTTTCAGGAGCTTCATTTTTTGTCTGACAACTTTTTCCGTACAATGAATGCTTTCTGAAATAATTAACAAAAACAGTTTTACCTTTGAGAGGGACTGGGAAGCGGAGGGGACATTTGCGCCAAAAATCCATTTGGGAATATTATTTACTAGATAAAATAAGTATTTAGGCTGAAAATCAGCCAAATCGGAGATGATAGCTTTTCAGAAGCACACCCGAGATTAATATGTAATTTATTGAAAGAAAATAAGCTTGAAGGAAATAAGATTACTGAAACATATTATGAAAAAGCCTTGAAATTTCAGATTGCTTGAGATAGAAAAGAAGGGTAAATTACAATGACGAGAAAAGACAAAAAAAAAAAACCAATTTTAAAGGAAATAGAGAAAGTAGAGGAAATGGAGGGACTTATGCTAACACAAGAAGACATATTAGATGCAAACATATCAGGAAGTGAAGAAGTAAATACTTCTTTTGACGAAGAATTAACAATGCTGATTACAAAACAAGTGAAACAGCAATCTGATATGAAAAAAGAAGAACAAATTTCAATGGCAAAGAAAGTACCAAAACAAGCTATAATAAAACCAGAACAACAACCACAATTTGTAATGACATCGGAATTAGAAAACATATTGCGACTAACAGAAACAGTAGAGCTAGATGTAAAGGAAGAGCTAGATGCAAAGGAAGAGCTAGATGCAAAGAAAGAGCTAGAAAAGCTGGTACGTTTTTAACATTTTCTTTTTGGATATGCTTATTTTTGCAAAGGCACGCCATTAAAAACGCCATAAGATTTTAAAGAATTCAGTTAATTTGTGATATTTTCTAAAGTCTATTCAAATTATTATATTTGATAGAGAATTGTATGCTTATTACATGCAACTCATTCTTTTCGATTCTTTTAATTTTTTTGCCAACATGAGATTGTTCAATTATGTAATTGTGCGATTTAACTGCATGAATGATCTAAGCGTGCTTTTAATATAATATTCCAGAGAAATTTGAGAACAAAATTTCGATATAAAGTATTTATCGACTCAATGGACTCTTCAAATAGCATGTATCACCTTCTAACCGTTCCCTCAATGCACAATTAATTGTATTAGAAATCTTATGTTATTATGAAAAAGATATATTCATTATTTGCACAACTGATAAACAAACTAATTAATTTCAGGATTCCGTAGAAACAATAGAAACAGATGCTATTCACATTAATGTTAATAATAACATTTTGCTACAACCATGCATTGAACCTGCGTATTCTGCGAGTTATCATCGAACTCAAATAAGCTCGAATATATTTCAACATACCTGGGAAATTGATCGCTTCAATTATATTCACAAGTTTGTAAAACAATTAAATTCTATATTTCCAAATGCACCTCAATATGAGCTTTCATTGAAAATTAATACAATATCCGAATCTGAGGATAATACATCCAAATCTGAGAAAATTGATCTATCACTTCATCTATTAACTCAAATGGAATGTATCGGTTTATGTACGGTTTCATTGCGTTATCCTCATGAATATACAACAAAAAACATAGTTTTAGACCATGTAAATGATGCAGTGCTATGTAACATCACAGCAGCTGTTGCGACTTGGTCCAAACTTACGATAGAGTGCACACTAGAGGTTTTCAAACATGTTATAGAAGAAAGTAATCATACTTTTTCATTATCGTTATCACATATCATCAATTTGAAAAAGTCGAATCTTGAAAATTTGAAGTTAGATCAGAAATCTGTCAACTTTCTAATAAACGGAGAACATTACATAATGCCTCTAAATTTATTAAAGCTTTTAGACGGTAGCTATTTTGGAAATTTATGCGATAAACATGGAAAAAATGACATATTGAGCGAAACAGTAGTAGACGAGAATCCAATTGCTTTTAAGGAAATGTTATTTTATATTCAAACTGGTTTCATAGCGGACGTACATAAGTATAAATTGCTTCAATGTTTATTAAAATTAGCTCATAAATATAACGTGCTAGATTTGAAAGCACTATCTGAATATCACTTGATACGTTTTATTTCCAAAAAGAATGTTGTACATCTTGCTGAACTTGCGATTTTACACGATGCAAAATATTTACGAGAAAGTACGATAAATTTTATTAAATTTTATACGAATATTCTGAGTACTCAAGAATTTAAATCTCTATCGCAAAATGTTTCGAGTGAGATAATTGATTCAATTAACAAAATTAAAGTGAATAAAAAGATTAAACGTATAGAAGACTCTTAGTGTTCTTTTAACTTGACTTTATTTTCATTAGATATAAAAACAATCATTAAAATATTTGCCGTTATTGTCTACAGACATAGTATGACAGAGCGTGCCATCGCTAAGTTGATGCCAGCAATAAAAGTGTGATAGAGAGAAAGTGCACGAGTATTCTCTTCGTCTTTTCGCATATATGCAAATTGTTTTTTAACTGATCTGATCATAGACATAATATATATCAATCAACATCAATAAATTCATGGTATATGTTTAAATTTAATAATTTATTCAATAATTATTTGACATTGTAGCAAATATGCTTAAAAAATTATTTAATATTTAATATTATTAACAAAAAATGCAGTGTCCGGCTATGTCAAAAATCGCATAATATCTTTTTCATAAGCATTTTTAAAAATATGTAAGCATATATTTTTTAAATATATATGATTATATTGTTACAGTTTTGTACATACGCACACCGTACATTTTCGTGGAATTATCTTTATTAATTAAATATATAATAAATTTATTAAATTTATTATATATTTATTAAATTTATTAAATAATATTAAATATATTTTTTTAGTTTAAAATAATTTTAATTTTATCAGTAATATTAATAAATTTAGTACACTCACTCATAAATATATGAAAATAAACTCAATATACAAATATGCGAAATGCTGTTAGATACATTAGACGTAGTATGATGAATTCAATTTGATATTCACATCATGCCATATATATAATTAGATCAGTTGCAAAATAATTTGTGCATGCATAGAGAAAATGTCCGTGCACTTTCTTTTTTGTCTCACTTCCTTTATTTGCTGGCCTCACTTTTCTATTAAGAAAAGTGAACAATGTTCTGTCTATGTTATGTTGCTGTCTATGATTTTTTACCACTTTGTAGGCAATGTTTCTCTATTCGCAAAGAAAGTAAAATAATTTTAATATTAGAGATTTTTTAAAACGGTAAGAAAGACTAAAACTTTTGCATATATCTAATACTTTAACTTCATTTGACTATAATTCTTTTATGATATGCAGACTGATTGAGAAAAAATATTCGGCGAATTGAGCGAAACATTTTTGCAAATTTGTATTAATTTTCCTATTATATTCATATTATACGAAATATCGTAATATTTATATTATACGTACATCCGTATATCATATGTAATATGGTAATATTTCTTACCTTTTTTACATCTCTTTTATGCATAAAATCTTACATTTTTTAACTTGGCGCAAGATCTCTTGATTTTCATTACATATTTTTTATATTTTATATTTTATATGACTTGACATGAAATAAAAGTGTTTTCAATTGTGTTTGAAATGTATATCTGACTAAACTTCTTTTTAATATTATTCTCGTATCTCTCGTCCTTCTTTTTGAATTTCATTCTTCTGCTTTCCTTCTTAGATGGTGAGCGCATTATGAGAATAGGAAGTGCCGTTAGAGGGGTGGCTAACGCATTTTCCACCCTTGCTGCGGCTAATTAAGCACACCGTGATGTAATAACGACCAGAATGCAGCCGCCGAGCCACTCTGTCGTGGAAAATTAAGCGTTCGGCCGTGAAAATCGCTAATATACCGTCTGTCTCCGCGAAATCTTAGCAGCTGTGACCTTCCGCATCTTTAACGAAACCAATAACTAGAGATCCTCTCGTGAGAGAACGCGATACAGTTTGGGACACGTTTTATGAGATCGTGAAATTGTGATTTGATAACACTTGGCGTTATTTACAATCATAATATTTTAGATAAATGCTAAATAAATCTGATTTTTTATTATGATGATAGTATCTCTTAGGAATTATATCTTTTTATAAATTTAAAACTGATTTTTTTGTGTTCGGTGCAAATTTTAATGCGTTGTTTACTTTAATACTTTAATATTTTTACAAGAATTTTCGTCTCAAGTATCGAGCGTCAAGAAAGCTGATAGTGAATCTTAAATGTATTCATGCGTTAATTGCGAGACATTAATATAATCTGCGTCCATCTCGAAAAGCGGTTTACGTGATGCACGAAAACCAGCCGCTGTCGTATTAGGAGTTCCAAAAGAATCGGTGCGTGATAAGACCTTTCCAAAGTATTATCAACCGCCACCGTCGCTGTTGGTGTTGGCGTAACGCTCAGACGGCGAAGATCTTAATTATTACACGACGCCCCGAGTAACGAGGGTTGGCACGTGGTGACGTAATGTACGAGAGGGGCCTAAATAGCCGAGACCATTGTTGTATACAACGCACGTCGGATCTGTTGAGGCATTAATAGTCTTGCGTGACGTAATTAACTCGCGGCCGACGAATTTCCGGCATTACGGCGTGACGTACGCCCAAGAGGGTGTCCTCGGGCTGGGTTTTGATACCGGAAGCGGTGGCACCCAGTTGAGCCTTAGGATTCAAGCGCACGTCGAGCACAATCCCTTCCCACAAAAGTTCGGATCGAGGATCGCCGTTTCGAAATTTCGCACAATGCGCGTTTAACACGCGTGTCAGTAACGCGTGATGAATAATATGCGCAATATACAGAGTACATAGAGAGTATATACAGAGTATAAGATGCGCGATATAAATAAAAAAAATTATCTCTACATATTCTAGAATTATTTTTTTTTTTAATATAAATTTTCTAACCTACACAAGTCTCTAGCTTTTAAAAAATAATATTTTGATTTGATTTATATTTCACGCAAAGCTATCTATTCTAAAAAAATAATTAACTAGAACAAAGCTAAATGCGAGTAAAACTTTGAAACAATCATTAATTTTGTGGCTGCTAAACGAGCAAAATAAAGGCGTATAAAAATAAGCACGAGATAAGCAGGCACTATAAATCCAGACAAGAAAGGGCGGTATAATCTAGTCGTGGCGTTAAACGCGGCTGAAATAGCGTAAGTTGCACTTAAGCGGGCGTAAACAGTTAGCAAATGAGAATTTCGCGCAGATGCGATCAGCAGCGCCGCGGAAAACATTAATCTCCCGGCTTGCAGAATGTGTTTTCTCCTTAGAGCTACCGCAAAAAGTCAGTCAAGTCGAGAGACAAAAGTAGGTTTCATTTTCGCCGCGTTTTTCCACCTCGTTAATGTTACCGCGAACGTGCGTTGAGCGGGTCTAATGGCTTCTCAAAGATTCACGACTGAACTAAAACCGGCAAAAAAGTTAGAAAAAAAAAGAAAGCAAAATAGAACATCAAGATTAAAGCAATATGTTTAGTTGCGATACAAGTATATTCAGTGCTTATAAAATGTATTGAAAAAAGAAATTTGTTCTAGTTTGTGTGTAAATTTATATATATTTCTCTTTTTATTTATATACATATAATAAAAAGACGTATAAAATTGAATTAGATACTAAATTTGTTTCTTTTTATAAATCATGTTTCATTTTATAATCATGTAATATATATACGTAAAAAAATATAAAATAATTCAAAGATTCGAAATCTGTAAGAAAGATACTGAGTGACAACATGTTAAGCAACATGTAAAGAATTGTATGAGATTCTTAATTTATATTTATCTAATCAATTAATCAAGTTGCAATAAAAAATTGTGATTTTTAAGACCGTAATCAAAATTGTCTTTCAAGACATTTTTAATTTAGCAAAGATAATTTTCTGTAATATTAATTGTAAATAAAAATACATGCAACTTGACTCGCAATTGTTTCAAACTTTGCACTTTCGTCAATAGACTATTTTATAAATAAATTATTAAAGATTGAACACTGCATATAAAAGGCACTTTTTTACGAATCCATTGCCTTATTCAATTAATTTTTCTTATCTTTAATTAATTAATCATCTTAATTTAATTTTGGGTGAATACTTTATGGCATTTCTTAACAATACCAAAATGGACGGAAATGTTGCACTTGCGTTATTTATAATACATAAGCGAGAATTCGCGAGATTAGCGTATTGCATGTGGACGGATATGTTATTCAACCTATCTACAAGCTGATTCCACTTCAAATTGGAACCAAAAAACAAGAGTATATTCTTTGGCAATTTTGGAGTTAATTTTTGCTTAACAAAAAATTTCATTTCTATCTACATAAAAATTGCACATTGCATACTAAAAGTTCTATAAAACTAAAAAAAGTTTTGCT